ATATACGCGTTATCTGTGGAAGGGATCGATTACCGAAATCGATTGTTGGACCTGACCACTCAATCGAGTTGTGTCAAAAAGTTGCCACTTGTTTACAGCTGACGTTTCTAATTCTCACATGTAAAACTCTTGATACAATTTTTGAGAAACAAAACAATTATTTCATAATGGTTTAAAATATAAAAAGTCGTCTATGTATGGTCTACCTCAACACTTGATGTTATCTCGAAGATGAACGACGGCTCAAAATGATAATGTCATAAGCACATGTGAATTCAACACGATGACCTTATCTAATGGTTTTCGATTATGAAATAAATAATTTAAAATCTTTTAGTTTTATCGTTGTGATTTTACGTTCCTAATCTTATATTTCAAAATAGTGTGTATTGAAGAGTTGCAATGGCGTAACTACACTTTATCGTTAACAGTAAATAAGTACGTACGAATATTTTTTTTTAACGTTCAGTATTAACATAACAAACATGATGCGGATAATATACTAAATTTCTTAGACTATAAGTATCTTATAATAACAAGTTGTACTTTACTAGTTTAGCCCTATTAGATACCCATATTAAGGGAAACAGGAAAATTAAAACTGCAATTTTCTGGTAGCAGCATCATGGATCTACAGTAATACTAAATTCATCTGAGCTAAAGGCTTGGACAAAATTTCAGGTCTGTCATTCAAAATAGAAAGGAGTTAAAATCACTAAATTTGACCCACCAATAAAGATAAATAAAATCGATAGAAAAAGACTATGATTTCCTAAAGATAACGCTGAACTTATTGCTCCCCTGTCTATATTAAAGACAAGCGTAACTGTGGTAACACAGTGACCGCCATTATTGGCGTAGACATCGCCAACACACTTGATGACATAACGGACTGCCGACGGCCGACCGACTGCGCCGACGCGAGAATACCGTTACATTGGCCGAGGCATGCAAGAAACTACGTGCGAGTAATGCGTTTTCACAATACAAAATACAATTATATAAAATTATAGATACTCTTGTCACAATAATCAATAAAGAAATGGGAAAAAGTGCTACTTACATAGTTAGAAAGAACTATTGAGTAAAACAGGACAGATAAGTCTGGACATTTTGTTAATTAGCGTTGATACGATTAGTAGAGAACTACGATTAAAGACTGTTAAGGTAATCCTTTTTATACAAAATTGTTACCAATACATAAATTTTTATGGTTGAGTATCGTCAATAGGATATATTAATGAAGATTCTTTCTTCGTTTTACTTTTATTATATACTAAATAACACAGTGTACATCATATCATCTTTCTCACCGTTTAAACCTACCCTGGACTACTACGAACATTTCAATACTAATATCAGCTAAATTGGTCTAACCGTTCCCGAGTTTCATCGCAATTGATTTTTATTTAAAAGAAGATGTTTGAAACAACGAAGATACCACAGCACCCAGACCAGAGACTGTACAAAAGTTAGTTATACATCGAACCTAAACCTGGATCTTAGAGATGATGACACCTAGAAACCAGCCTGTGAGTCACTCGTCTACGGAGGCGGTCTTCGAATGCATTCTTAGTCTTAAAAAAATATTCCAAGATTATATAACAAGATATGAAGAGAGCATAATGATGAACCATATAACATATGTAATTATTAATCATCTTCATAATCCAATAATTGTTAATACACATTTATTCAATCATGACAAATCTGTTACATAAAACTGTCTCGTATAAGATCGTCCAACAATCCAACTAATTATTAGAAGCTATGTACTTAAGCCATCATAAAATTTGACACTTGTCTAAAATTTATAAAAATAATTAACAACTAAAACCTACACGCAGTTATTATGCAATTTAATTAGATAGTTATGAGTGGACCTTAATATTCACGACTCCTATTATCGTCTCTTATGTTACTTAAAAGGTCAAACATAAAGCACCTACCTAAATCATCGACAGAATCGCAGAATTGCACATCATTCTAGTTTTAAAATCACGATTTGCATAAGCTTTTTTCTATTACCTATGATAATACAATATGACGCTTTACGTAAATACTTGTTATTTTTTTATTTCATATCATTCGATTATTCTTTTGAAGTACACCAATAAATAGTATAAAATAGAGTTTACACAACACTATACAGCAATATCTGCACTAATTACACAGGATATGGCGCAACAGAATACATCAACATATTAAACATTTAAAGTAAGGCTTAATCTATGAGACCTAAATCGAATTTATTTAATTAAAAGACGTACAAATATTCTTCAATTAATACTTAAGTTATTTTTACTATGGTATTCATTGAAGAGTACTTATAATACTTATTATAAGCACAAAACTTAGATAAGTATATCGTACAGTATATTATTTCTCATAAGTGTACTTAACGTGGCTGAACTAAATACGTTAAGAACTCAAGTATAGTCCACACCTGGATCAGGTATCATTTAGTATTTATATTACACTCTTTGATAATCCTAGTATACCTGCCGATATCAAATGCATCGGCAGGTATACTAGGATTATCAAATTTACTTGAGATTACAAATCATTTAATATTAAGATTACAAATCATAAGCAATAAGTCGTAAAAGCATATTTTGTTTTGCAAGGTTTTAATTTCTTTAAAACAGAGACGATCATTAAAATCTCTCTTTGCTTTAATACCTAATTTTGCAAAAAATAAATTACTACAGGGAGGCGAGATATCAGTTACCTTAGGCTGTTTGTAAAGTCAAGAATTAGAGCGTTGTTCGGTTGCGTGTGCGCACATCGTTAGTTCGTATCGGTGGTTCTGCTCCAGATTCGTGCCGGTCCACTGGCCGTCGTCTTACATCGAGGAAACCACACCCTAGGACAATCTGACACAACCATTGCACAACTTTCTCGATATCGGATTACATTCAACGCTATTATGTTCACAGAAATGGTAGTTAAGGCTCCTATTGATTATTGAACGCCCATTTGACGGTTATCTTTACCCCCTTCAGCTATTCAAGAATAGAAGCAAATAATCAGTCGCAATGCAACTAATACACATTTAGATATACTAATGTCGAAATTGCGGAAGGTATAGTTTGAACGTAATAATATAAACTAGCCCGAATGGATGAACGGATAAAGTTATATTGCGTCACTATAATAGAAACATTAATGAAAGGGATTAATAAAACCGCGATACACTTTCTAAATTAGACATAAATCGTGCATGATATTATACAATAGCGATTAATAATAATATGAAAGGCAAATCACATTTGATATTGGCGATAACTCGTACTTTCACGTATAGGTCAATCGGTTTTCGTGAGATATTTTACAAAGAGGCTGAATGGAAAAAAAAAGTTTTTATGTAACAATAGCTTCCATAATTTTCTGCACGTAAAAACTTGAAAAGACGGACTTTTTCTTATTATTATTATTTTTTATTTTTCTTATCATGGTATTGAATAATTAACTGAGTATGACCGAGACTAGCTACTATTTTAAGCACAAACGGGAAATATTACATGTTATATTATTAATACGTTATCATTTTGGTTTCACTTCCTCGTTAAAATTAAAATATTTAACTTATTCAGTCTTTTACACGCATGAAATTTTCGCCCGACTTCCATTGTAATTTCTTGAACATGAACCACCTGGATATAATATTATTTTCACATTATTTAAGTCGTTTCTAATTTATTATTTTATATTACATTGAAACTTTACCACCACTTTAATAAATATTACTTTCATCACACTGTTGGAAATAATACAAAATCAAGAACAGAATTGCTTTACCCAGACTTATATTAGAACAGTTAATGTATTACAGGTAAGTACATATGTTAGTAGTGCCAAAGATTAATAAATTCAAAAGTTAAGGAAACTATTCACAAAATACAATAAAATACAATCACCATCAGACTATTAATGTCCTTCCCTATGGATGGAATCGAATAGAAAGAACGGGCCATAACCAACCACGCGCGGATCCAGTGCGGATTGGTGAGTGCTGATAACCGCTAATGCAGCATACGCACACGGCTTAATGTTCTTTGCTTAGCACAAAGGAGCTCGAGATTAATGTTTGATCACCCATCCCATGATCAGTACTCGCGAAAGTTGCTTAAACTTGCAAAATCGTTTAACAAAAGTCCGGTCCTGTCTGGTAGACTGGTAGAGAATGCCCTTGGCATTAACTTCGGCTTTTACTTTACCATATAGACTAAATACTTTTAATCCCAAAGTTATCACGGAACCACCACAGGAAGGACCACTGGTTGTCTTACCTAACTATAAATAAACATAGAGATCTAAAACAGCAGTAACCCTCGACCTCGGAACTGCTTCATTTGCATCTTATCACAAATTCTCAGACGGAATTTAATAAAAATATATTTTAAGAAAATTTTGTGGCACGCTTCCTTGATTCAACAAAAGTGGAGCGTTCACATTTTTCTGTTACGTAATTAAGATGAAGCATATCGGAACAATTCATTGTGGATGTATAATTGTAAGTGCCGCAATCCATTGTTTTGATACCCGTGCGAATAGCTTGACCCGGTCATTGTATCATTGTTTTGTACATCTTCTTATTAAAAATGTGTACCGTGAAACATTGATTAATGTTTTGTCGATCAGATCCCTTATTAAACACTTAACAATGCATATCTGAACCACTTTCTACTCTCAACAAAAACACGTCTACTATTTCAAAAAGTGTAATTATTCGGTTCCGTTGTGCTCATCCAATCATTTAAATAGATACGCTTCTCTAAAAATAAAAGAAAAATAATTTTTATCCATTAAAATTTACAAATATGTATTAAGCAGGTGAAAAACGAGAAACAGCTGAAGTAGCAAAAGAAGTCTTAGATTTTTATCCATATAATTATTGTTCTACTGTTTTGCCTATATAAACCGGCACCACAAATACACTTAAACTATCGGCACTTAAAAAGTTTTACTGCCATTTATAAACTGATGTATATTTTTTCATGAAAATGTTTACGTTTCAGATGCGACGGCAAGCTCGGATCTCAGCTGGCGGCGCGCTCGTCGTGCGCACCGCCTCTGCCTTGCAAGGTAAAATTATATCATCAATACATAGTATAAAATAAAAACACTTTCCATCTGTCTGTCCATACGTATGATATGATCTTTAAACTACATAACGGATTTTAATGCCGTTTTTAATAGATAGGTTGATTCAAAAGAAAGGTTTTTAAGTATAATATTTAAGTACTAGACCAAGCGAATAAAGCCACTGGCAGAAAACTAATAAATAATATAAGTCAATTTATAGAGCCTTCTTTCCCTGTCAATATATAGTATATCTTTGAAACTATACGAAAGATTTTATTGCAAAGAAAGGTTGCGAAGCCGCTGACTGAAAGCTATATCACATAATAAAAAACTATACCGCATCATACTGTCAAAACGCTAAAAACTCAAATAATTTTTAACCGACTTCAAAATCCAAAAGGAGGAGGTTATATTCGACGGCAATGAATGTTTTTTTATGTATGATCACCGATACTTCCGCCAATTGTTGAACGATTTTCAAAATTCTTTTTATTTGATAGCTTAATGGACCGAGGTCTTAATCGACTAAGTAGTTTTCCTTTTATAACAAAACAAAATACGTTTATATCACCTAAATATTTAGATGATATTTTCTATGTTCAAGGAGTATGTATATTTTGATGAAAGTAAGTATGTCAATTGATTTCTTCTTGAATTGTGAATAGATTTCTATAAAATAAGCGATTTCCCCGCGACTTTGCCGGCGTAAATTATAGACTATGTTTAACGCCTTTTATGTAGCCTTATCGTTTTTTATGAAGGACTTTTATAAATCAATCCAATTGTTTCGTATAGATCTATATAAAAAATATTCAACACAGTGAAAGTCTGAGAAAAGAAGATTTTGACATATTCTTTTTCAATAATCATTTACTCGTATTGTAAAGAGATTTTATTGTTTATTGCAACGAGACTCCAAAACTACTGGATCGATTTTAAAAATTCTTTCACCTATGCGAAGCTATATCATATGCGGTGAACATAGGCTATATTTAATCCCGAAAAACAGCGGGGGGAAAAGGGGGGGGTGAAAATGGGAGTGAAAGTTTGTATAGGGAATAAAAACGTTACCATAGTAACGATTGTTTACTATTCAATTTGTCATTGTAATTATATCCGTGTCATCGTGTCATGATATGAATCGATATCCAAATAAATGGTTTCTCAGGGACCACGTGGGTGAAACCGCTGGCGGAAAGCTAGTATTTAATATATTTAGTGTTACCTATTATATAAAAATATCAACATCACTAAAAAGCATGAAAAAACTTTAAGAAAATAGAACCAACTTCAAACTTATCTCTAAAGCCCGACTGCAATAACATTTTCTTGAATATGTAGTTTTTGATATAAGTGTTATTTATAACTTTTTTAAAGTTTGAAATAGGTTCTATTTTTTAAATGTTTTTATGTGGTTACAAATGAAACAAGCACTAATTAAGGTTTTGCAGAAATTGGTTGAAATATGACGACGGTTTTGTAGATGTTGAAAAAACGTGAGGACTAGAAGCAACATGTAAATTGCGCCCGCGAAAATCGCGGCGTGTCGCAAAGCCAAATAGGGTTTTTTTATTTATTCGCACCCTTCCAAGATCATCGTTGTATGTGCCGGAACATTTTTTTTTATTGTGTGCAAAGGCTAGAATTAAAAAACAAGTTTCCATAAAAACAAGTATTATTTTAGAGCTACCACAAAGGTAACACCTCCACCTTATATTTGGTTTATCTTAAAAAGTAGAAAAAACACCTGACGCCAATAAAGCGTTATTATGCGTTTTCAATTTACATAAAACTACCTCATATGTAATGCTATGGGTCACTATAACCTTTGATAACAATCTACTGTTATTAGGTATAGCTAACCGTAAGTGGGTGAGCATATATGAAGAACGTACGCACGAGTAAGTCGCGAACTTGTGGCTCGACGACCTTTTTCGCTTGTGTGTCATCTTAAGTACGCGTACTTTAAAATTGCCGCACAAGTTTGCCGGCGATCCAAACGGTTTGAAATCTTACTCGTAGCTTGTCTTCAGCCTCCACTTTAATTCTTAACTGCGTGGAAGTGCAACGCTTGTTGTTTGAGTTTGATCTTATATAAGTAATTTTTATTCATCTTAATTCGTTTAACTCTATTTGCTCCGAACTGTAAGCACTTTCTTTAGTACACCAGTAAATGTATTTTACAGATTGTTAATTTTTAATTAAATTATTTACAAGGTTTTTGTTGTTTTTTGTCTGATTCAAACAATTCGGGCTAAATTGTTTTTAAATTTCATTTAAATTCTCGAGACATAAAAATAAAAAATATAGTGGTTTTTTATTTTTATGCCTCGAGTCTGTGTCTGTAATCTTTTTAGATGGTATTAAAAAAAATTATCGATAGTCATAACTTAGATATGTTTATTTTATGATTCCAGTATGGTTGTGGTTGCTGATCTTCATATTCCAGAACGAATTTCGAATATCAAGGAGTATAAAACCCGGGGTAAGGGAATAATTTATGCATGTGAATATAAAAAAAAATCTTATGATACTACTAAATTTACAAGCACAATATTTTAAATAGTGGTCTGATTTTGTAAATGGAGTTATTTTTTCAAATGATGATCATACAGTAGAACTTCGATAATCCGAACACTGGTGCCCAATTTCACCAGCGTCCCCTAAACTGTTACATAAGTATGTGTCCCTTAAAATAAAAGGACCCGTAAATGATCCCCTACATTAAAATATGTTTCACCATCTGAACAGATCACTTAGTAGGTTACCCATATGTATGTGACAGATTAATTTTCATTTTAGATTAATTTTTTAACCGATTGTTATTTTAATTATGTATAACATACGATTAAAGCTGTTTCAGCGTATTGAAATTATATTATGAATTTATATTCATTAATATTTAAAATTATTATTAATTTTTGGTTTTCCACAAGCAGGTCATAAATGGAGTAAAAATAAAGGACGATAACGACTTTTCCATGAGTTAGGGCTGGATAATTGAACCTCTTTGCGTTAATATACAACCTTTTATAAAAAGTCGAAATATCTGTTCTACTATTGTCGATAATCAATTTTGTGATGTATGTTTATTTTTGATTTTAATTAATTTTATTTTTTTTAAGTATCCAAGACGTGTTATCGGCAAATCTCAAACGGAGTACTAAACAATGCACAGATATAGGTCATCTTTTCAGCTAAAACCATTACGTTTTGTGTATTACTTTCAATACTATTGTATTTGTAGGAATCTTTCTCTATTACGAATTTATTAATATGAAATTACGAATTTATATTACGAATTTATTAATCTTCGTGAATAGATTTGTGTGTTTGAGGTTTTTGTTTTAAAACACTAAAACATTTCTTACCTATTATCATGAAACTCCAAGTCCTTTTCTATTTTCTCTAATATAAATAAAACACAATTTTTTGATAATCTATATCGTTTAAAAAAGTCCACATTGTCGTATTTATTGAAATAATCCGGTCGTTAACGTATTATACGCTGTCGACTAATTAATGTATTTTCTGATAATAAATCGGAAATTTCTAAACTTTCTACAAAATCAAATAATTCGGCATCCATTCTCTAAACTCTATAACAAATATTTTAACTCTGCGTGACCACTATCTCATAGGAAAACGCTCTTATAAACTGTCACATAACGTTATGGTCTTAATATTCGGTCCCCTAAACTTAGAAGTCCTTTTAGAACCGTAGGGGGCCCCTAAGCATTGGTGAAACGAATAACGTAGTTAGGGGTCACCTAACCAGGTTTAGGGGTCCCCCTAATTTAGGGGACGTTGGTGAAACCGGGCGTGACTTATTCTATTTTAGTTTATTCTAACCATAGTATAACGCTTAATTATATGAACGTTGGAGTAAATTTGTTGGTGCCAATGTGCATTGGTTGGACAACCAGACTATCAACTTTTTTCAGGCGTAATAATAAATAATATACTCCAAAACTACAGAATTGATTTTAAAAAATCTTTCACCCAAGGGAAGCTATATGAAACGCGGGTAACATAGGCTATAATTTGCGTGAGAAAGCGCGGGAATAAGCTAGTTAAATAATGTAAATAATGTTAAGTTTTAATACAAACAAAATTCGATTATCTGAACTCTCGGTCCCCATTTAAATAATCAAGGTGCTAATATAATATCATCAATAAGCACTATTACCACATAATAAATTATTTGTTTGTTTAATATATAAAATACGATAAACATATAAGTATTTATAGTATTTTTCTATATCTTACTAGACAACCTGGTGTACTTCGTATCACGTTTAAACCTACCCTAGAGTACGATAAACATTTCAAAACCAAAATCAGCTAAGTCAGCCCAGCCATCCTCGAGTTTTATCTAGACAAACGAATAGCATTAATTGTTATATATCAGACTAGCTTTGCCCGCGACTTCGTCCGCGTGGTAAAGTTACTTTGAACAGAATTTCTAACAAATATTTATTCATTATGATCTATTAACGATACCTAATGCCTACAAAAAATTTGGAGAGTCATTTTAAATGCAGGCGGTATATAGGTATATTTAGATTTGTAAAAGAGACCTAAAGCCCGTCACACACGTAGCTACAATATATATTAATATGCCGTGCTATAATATATATTGCCCTCATCCATTGATGGTCAGCCTAGCGTTTATAGCCTACCATAATATGCAATAATATATATAAATATGCGTTAATATATTTGTTGGTAAAGTCATAGAAATATATATTATAGCTCGTGTGCGGTCATTTGAATATTTGTATAAAAAATATATCGTAATATGCCTTTCTATAATTTATATTAATATATATTATAGCTACATGCGTGACGGGCTTGAGACTAATAATATGCTCATGACAACAAAATAATATACATATATTTCACGTTACAGTACTTGGACTTCGATAATCTACCCGAAACGAATTTCACATGTGCAGGGAAAGTAATAGGAGGTTACTACGCCGACCTGGAAACCTCTTGCCAGATGTTCCACGTGTGCACTGTCGGTCAACAGGATGAGCCCATGGATATAAAGTTCCTGTGCTTAAATGGCACTGTCTTTGATCAGGTATACCATTAGACCAATAATTATAATTTTTCCGTAAATTACAAACAACTTCAACTTTATTCTTATATAAGACCTTGCTTTACATTTAATACAATTTTCATTAAGGTAATTAAAACTTAAAATAAACACAGGCATAGCCCTACAATATCTTCGTCTTCGTCAGCCTATTCCCCGCCTCCCCTGTGCTGAAGCACAGACCTTCCTAATAAATAAATTAGGGTGAAAAGGTTTATAACCCACCCACCAACGGTTTAACGTGCTTTTCAGAAGTCAGAGATGTTACGATATTGCCCTACTTAGGTGTTCCATTGTTTTTTAAATTCCTTTCACGATCACGATCACCAGCCCTTTTATGTCCCCACTGCAGGGGCTCAGGCCTTCCTTATGGATGGTTAAGGAGGATGGGCCATGACCCTCCACGCTGGCCCAATGCGGATTGGAGGGTATTAACGACTGCAAATGCAGCCGGGACCAACGGCTTAACGTACCTTCCGAAGCACGGAATAGCTCGAGATAATAATTTTTGGTCACACATCCCGTGACCGACCCTTGCGAAAGTTGCTTAACGACTACGATCGCGGGCCGTGGCGCTTATCCACTACGCCACCGAGCTACAAATTCCTTTTCCTTTCAAATTCCTTTGAAGAAACATATTCTCGTATTTTTTTTTATTTCAGGGCATTCTCTCTGCTCTTATTACTATTTTTATTAAAGGCATTATGTCTTTAGCTATATTTACTTTTACCCGAGGCTACCTACATAGTCTTCTAAGTACGATATAGTACTCTATACTTTTTGAGCGGCTGACTACTCGTTAGATAAGCCTTAGGTCTGAGCGGTTGACTACTCATTAAATAAGCCTTAGGTTAGAGCGGTTGATTACTCCTTAAATAAGCCTAGATCATTTTTTTTTCATATATGGAGCGGTTGACATCTCCTTAAATAAGCCTATAAGTCATATGGGATCACACTTCTAGAGTGGTAGTCATTGAATGTGAACTCCACTCTAAACAGAATGAAAGGATATTATGTTAGGAGAGGAATACATATTGTTTGAAAGGTTTGTGAAGTAGTGTCCTCTGGTTTACTTTAGGTAATTCTTCAAAATTTTTCCTAGTCAAAATTTTCTGGAGTTATGGGGTTATGGGGGAAATATTGTAACTGACAGAATTTCATATTTATACACTATATATACCATTCCCATTTCTAAATAAACTCATGATATGAATAAATATTTTAAGCTTCAGTAAATCGTACCTAATATTTTTTTTTAATTTTCTTTTAACCATTTTTTTGTCTTTGATATTCAACATCATTTCTTTTTATTATTCACCTTTCGTAATTTAAAATATTGACTAATCAAATGTACTCTTCATTAGTGATAGAAAGGATTCGAGTCTTTTAGCCTTTTTTTTTAGACTTGCAGCCTTATTGACAGGGCTAGAAGACTAAATAGGTTTTAAGCCCTCAATGTTTATTTTAAAAAAAGGCTTTTGGCTCCTTCCTTCTTCTCTTTGGGGTTGGTCATGAGACATAAAAAATGCAGTGAATGATACAGGAACCAAAAAAGGAAGTTTTATATTTATTATCTAACGATTTAAAAATATTCACATTAATCTATATATTTCCGTTATACCATTTCATTATTTATTATTATTATTTTCACAATAAATGAAAATAATACTTTAATCAATAATATCTTGTATTTCTATATAACCTGACTAGACTTTTTTTAAATTACAACTAGCTAAAGCTCCAATTACGACTCCAGCCTTCAAAAAAGGCTCGATCTTTAAAAAAGGCCTAAGCTTAAAAAAATACTCTAGCCCTTTTATAGTAAGGAACTCTTAGTAGGTCCATTTCATGAGTACGTCTTAAAAAAGGACCCGAAGCTTTAAATTTAAGCCTAAAAGGCTCGAGTCTTCTCTATCTCTACTCTTTATGAATGTCAGTTCATAAAAAAATCATCTGTTGTAATATGTAAATCACATTTGAATCGTCCAAGTTACAGAATACACATTTTATAATTCCTATTTAAATTACTCATTCCATATTTAATAACATCATCATCAGCCCATATTCGTCCACTGCTGGACATAGGCCTCCCCAATTGCACGCCATCTACTTCGATTTTCGGCTGTTCGCATCCAGCTCCTGCCAGCCATCTTGCGCAAATCATCGCTCCACCGCGCCTGAGGACGTCCTACACTACGTTTGCCGAGACGCGGTCTCCACTCAAGAACTCGTTTACCCCAACGGTTATCGGTTCTGCGGCTAATATGGCCAGCCCACTGCCACTTCAGCTTGCTAATCCGGTGGGCTATGTCGATAACCTTGGTTCTCTGCCGGATCACCTCATTTTTGATTCGATCCCGCAGAGAAACGCCGAGCATAGCCCTTTCCATAGCCCGCTGAGCGACCTTCAACTTGTGGACCAGCCGTGCCGTCAGTGTCCACGTTTCGGCTCCGTATGTCATAACGGGTAGGACGCACTGATTAAAGACTTTCGTCTTTAGGCACTGCGGGATCGACGATGTGAAGACCTGACGTAGTTTCCCAAACGCTGCCCAACCTAGCCGAACTCTTCCATTTACCTCGCTCTCGAAGTTGTTTCTACCTAACTGCAATGTTTGCCCGAGGTATACATATTTTGGAACAATTCCGAGAACGGCACCGCATAGTGCAATCGGTTCCGGTAGTACGTGTTCGTTGAACATGACCTTGGTTTTATCCAAGTTCATCCGTAGGCCGATGCGCATAGAAGAGTCAGCCAGGTCATTCAGCATCTGTTGTAGGTCCTGCAGATTTTCTGCCATGATGACGATGTCGTCAGCAAATCTCAAGTGAGAGATGTACTCGCCATTGATGTTGATGCCACGTCCTTTCCAGTTCAGCGTCTTAAACATATCCTCCATTGCATTAGTAAACAATTTCGGAGACATAACGTCTCCTTGTCTCACTCCTCGATGCAACGGTATAGGACTTGTCTGCTGATTCTGTACTTGGACGGTCATGGTGGCGGCCTCATAAATACATCTTATCACTTGGATGTATCGCCAATCGACTTGGCATCGCTGCAGGGACTCCAGAACGGACCAGATCTCAATCGAGTCAAAGGCCTTCTCATAGTCCACAAATGCTAGACACAGGGGCTGATTATACTCTTCAGTCTTCTGTATAATCTGCCGCACTGTGTGGATGTGGTCTATGGTGCCGTATCCACTCCGAAACCCAGCCTGCTCCGGTGGTTGGAATTCGTCAAGTCTTTGCGCAAGACGGTTCGTGACTACTCTAGAAAACAGCTTATAGACGTGGCTTTGAAGGGAAATGGGTCGATAGTTCTTCAGCAGGGTTTTGTCTCCCTTTTTGAAGAACAGGACGACTACACTCCTACTCCACGCCTGCGGAGTTCTCCCTTCGAAGAGGACAGCATTAAAAAGCTTTTGGAGCTCCTTCAGTACCGGTTTACCTCCTGCTTTTAATAATTCAGTTGTAATGCCATCCTCTCCAGGGGCTTTTCCATTTTTAAGCTGTCTCAGAGCGATCTCGATTTCGCCAATGCTGACTTCTGGCAGATCTTCGGTGTAGTGGCGTGTTAATGTGGCTCTAGAATCCTCATTTCCGGGATCAGGTCGAGATGCATGCGAAGCGTATAACCGGGCATAGAAATTTTCCACCTCCGAGAGGACCGCTGGCTTCGAAGCAACGACTTCCCCGCTTGCTGTGGTCAACTTCGTCAAGTGGCTTCTTCCAAGAGATTGTACGAATACTTTTGACCCCCTGTTTTGCTCGATCGCTCTTTCTATAGCGTGAGTGTTGGAGCACCGGAGGTCATATCGTACGCGTTTGCTGATCTCCTGGTTTTGAGCACGTTTTCCTGACGAAGTGACAGGTGGAGTTTTCACGTCGTTCCTTCATTAGCCCCAAAGTTCTATCGGAGAGCTTAGACTGTCCCGCCCTTACGCTGCATGCTACAAAATTTCGTACCTTCTTCCCTGAGTATTCGAACCACATTATCAAGGTTCTCGTCAACGTCAATTGTGGTTTCCATGGTAGCGAATCGGTTCTCAAGATTTGACTGGAACGTTTCAGATTCCATCATGGTTTGGAGTGGAGTAGGTCGGAGCCTGGCCTTCATCAAGCGGACACGTTCAGCTTTGAAGTCGATATTCAGAGAGCCTCGGACAAGTCAGTGATCGCTGCCGGTATTAAACCTATTGATCACGGAGACATCTCTGAATACGTGTTTTTTGTCCGTTATAATGAAGTCGATCTCATTTTTTGTCACATTGTCGGGGCTTTCCCACGTCCACTTCCTTTGGGGCTGTTTCTTAAAGAACGAGTTCATAAGGAAGAGCCCCTCCCGTTCGAGGAAGTTAACGAGCATTTGCCCCCTATCATTCCTGCTTCCAAATCCATGGGATCCTACTACCGATTCTCCGCAATTTTGTACTCCCACTTTAGCGTTAAAGTCCCCCATAACAACGCTGTAGTGGGTCTTAGTAGTGAAGTGGAGTGCCCTCGATATATCATCGTACATATTCTCCACTTCATCGTCCGAGTGTGTCGAGGTCGGTGCGTATACTTGAACAACTTTGAGGCTATACCTCTCAGTGAGCTTTACAATCAGGTACGCTACCCTGTTCGACACACTGGAAATTTCTACAACGTTGTCAGAAAGGAACTTATTGACAAGAAACCCAACGCCACCTTGGGATTGTTGGTCTCCCTCGCGGAAGTACATTAGGTGGCCTGATTCGAGGGTTATGGTATCCTCCCCCTCTCTTCGGACTTCACACAATCCCAATATGTGCCTCCTAATCTTTCCAAGCTCCACCTTAAGTTGAGCCAGATGCGAGTCAAGCCGTAGCGTGCGTCCGTTATACGTCGCCAGGGTCAGTCGGTTGTGGTGGCCTCTCGTAGCCCGGAGATTCTTAGCACCCCCTGCCTCGCCGTTACCATGGTCGCCACCATGACCAGGAATAGCGAGGCCGCCGGGAACTAGGGGCCGTGGCCTTTTGTGCCTTTGCATTTGGGAGATATGCCCGTAATCGCCACGCTGGCAAGCGGGTTGGCGATCGCAGTATGGTCCGGTTCTGTGGCCCGCACAAGAAGACGCTGCTGCCCATCTCCTTGGGTTAAATTTCCCTTAGTCGCCTCTTACGACACCCACGGTATGAAAAGGGGTAGTACAATTCTATACCGGTACTACACGGTTAATAACAATTATTAATAAAATTTAGTTTAAATTTATAATATATGTGATTTAAATGTGATATCCACCCATAAAGATTATATTTGATTAGTCAAATTTTTTAATTATGAAAGGTGAATAATAAAAAGATCTGATGTCGAAAATCGAAGACAAAAAGTTTGCATGTTGAAATCTAGGAAAATAAACAGTGGTACGGCACACCGTTACAGAGATAACACATTTTTAATCATGTTTTCTATGACCACCCATCGCCAAAGATGTTTGACTTCCACATTGTAGATGAAATACACTAATCATTGCACGATTGATCTCCTCCACCTAACACGACCTAGAACAAACTAATAATAATTAAAACAACTTAGTATAACTTATTAAATAAATCAACTATGATTTTAATATTAAAGAAATATTCATATTTCAGGAGACACGAGTGTGTGAAAGAGTAGATGAAGTAGATTGTACAAAGTCTGAAAAGTTTTACAGTTTAAATTTAGAATTATACGGCAGCACTGCACCGCCAATAATACAGCCCGATCAAAATAAACCTTTAGCGCAGCCAACGGAACAAACACAGCAGCATGCTAAACCTAGTAATGAACCAAACACTGACCCAACAACTGGCATTTCGCCTACGACTGTGACTGATAAAACACAAGGGCACTCGACAGAAGTCGCCGATTCTACGGAGGATCCAATCCAGGATACAAAAAAAGATGAACATAAACAACAATTGACTGCTCAATACGATCCATCAGAACCATCATTAATAGTACATGATGAACTAAATGAAGGTAATGACTATATATTAATCTAGTAACTAATCAATTATTTAGTTTCATTTTTAATATTGTGACAGAAAGTGGGTGCAATATCAACTAAAATCGATTTTTAATCTAAACGAAATGAAACATAGAGAGAGCCTTTGCTGAATTTCGGCAAGAAATCCTCAGTTGATTTCCAAACAAATGCTATAGTTTTTTATTTTTTACAAGTGCTTGTAATAGAACAGACTTAATAATAAATGTTGAATTTAATACATACAATAAATAAATGTATTTAAAAGACTATATAAGGTATATAACTACACAGATGTATTTCAAAAAAAAGCTGAACACACAACCGTTATATGTTTCCAAAATACCTATATATTTCATATTAAAACCTTCATTAATTTTTAATCAATTTGTCTTTTAGAATATCAAGAAGACGATGAAAATGAGGAATATGAAGAGGATTACGTAAACTCTCCATCAACAACCACTACTACTGCACCAACAACTGTCACAGCGTCACCGACAACCACAACAAAGCAGTTTCCAACTACAACATTGCCTGCTGTTACATTATCCCTACGTCCCTCGCCATTACCTAATTTGTTATCTTCTCCATCACCAGCCGTCTCTTCTCTATCGCCACCCGCATATTCGTCAATACCATCCTCAGTGTCACCTATGCCAACGTTAGATCCTTCACTTCTTTCTCCTCAAGAATTTATTTACCGACACCAAGGACCAGGCTCAGAAGCAATATCTTTTCAAAGACATAGCAATCGCCCTGCTGACGGTGTATATATAACACATGCTCCTCCTCAGCAGTTTGATCACTTTCAATACGAATCATCTCGAACAGCACCACGACCTGCAGCTCCTCGACCATCATCGTTTCCTCAACGGCCACAACCTGCACCGTTTCGACCCACAACATTAGATCCGAGAGACCAGCTTCTCAAACCAGGTCCAACGTTTCAATCTTCTGAGAGACATGAAACTGCAATAAAACACAATCCATCTCCGTATCCACCACCTTTGCCAGCTCAAAGACCACTGCCGTTTAATCCCTTTTATTATGATCGAAAAAGAAGCGATGACGTAGTCATACAAGAAAAGTCTGCTTTATCAGCTCGATCAGTTTCACCACCAATAGTAACTGACCGACCTACAAACAAACCAAAAAGTCCACCGCGTGTTATAGTGACTGCTAGTGCATCTGTTAGTGATAGTAATGGGAAAAGACTAAATTATACCGTTGGTAATGTCGTGAGTGCAGTGAAACCAATAGTTCCGATAAATTATGATGACTATAAAGAATCAGATTTAATATTTGATCCATTCTTTCTTGATGTGCCAAAACTCCAAAGTCGACGTAAAGTTAGGTCAAATAAACATAGACAAATTATCGCTGTTCCTTCCACTGGAACCATAACACCTGATACAACTTCAGAAAACTCTGTCATAACAAAATCACCGGTAACATCACGAGCTACCACAACTGAAAGATCAATTGCAATGCCTTCTACAAAACCTACGACGATAGCTTGGAATCCTAATGACTACGTAGACGACAATTACGAGCCTCACGCTTATGTGCCTTCGATTCCACCACTTGCGATTTTAATATCCAATGATGACAATAAACAGAGGAAACCAGAAAGACCTTCAATCAAGGAACTGGTCGAAGAGAAAGCTCGTCAGGAAAACAAGTCGGAGGTTGGTCGTACAGAGCAGCCGTATAGGCCGACGCAGTCTGCGCTGCAGACAAGTTCTAGTCAAAGTGCGGGCACGGATATTACCCCGCCGCCCCCGCCACCGCCGTTGCCTCTCGAGGCCCCCGCCTGCGCCACCTCGCGCTCCATTGATTGTCGGACCCACGCTTAATAGCTCACTTTATACGTAGTATATTGAGATAGGTAGTGAATTTTAACAATTGCTGCAGATATTTAGGTTATTCTTTGTAAATAATTATTCCAACCCATATTTGACCTCACCATACCGCGAAAGATGGTTCTCTTAAAGCCTTTTGACAGTTAATTCTTCAAGTTTAAAAAAGAACTTAAGTCACTAAAATCTAAAAACATACTTGCTTTACATTCTAATAGGTGTCCATATGAAGAATATCAATTTAAATTACATGTGATGTTATGTAATTTGATAAATTGAATTTTCTTATTATATTTATATTTCAGTATAAGACCATTGTGTAAATATTTTTGTTTGTTAAATATATTTCTACTATTATATTTTAGTGGTCATATTATAAATGCTATAGAAATATTTATGTACGATGTATTGTAAATATCATCAAATATAATGTTTCTATATTAATGTGATTTTTATTGCCTACATTTTTACTATATGTATGAGTACTTCTTACCAGTACTAGACCTAGTAAGAAAAAAGAGAGAAAGTGAGAAAGAAGGCCAGCATACCAACAAAGACAAAATCCAAAGAGCAGGCTTAAAAATAAGACAATCATCACATACTTAGATCCGAAATGTAGTAACGGTCAGCACTTGCTATAGAAATCTGTATCAGAACGACTCTATCACAATACCCACACTCGAAAATTTGAGATAGTAAAAGTAGAAAAAAACATTTTCTACATTCATCTGACCGGCAATGGCAACCGGGACCTCAAAAATGGCGACAACTTGAAAGTTAAAGCCGGCGTGCAAATGACTCGAAGTCGTCTTTAATATCTGTTTAAGCTTTTTTCACACATATTAGTGTGGTCCACAAATTTATTGTGCCAGCGCAGTACCGGCATAGGCATATTTATTGATAACTAGCTTTCGCCAGCGGCTTCGCCCGCGTGGACCCTAGGGAAATGTTTAGTGGGATAAAAAGTATCCGATTATCTAAGTCAGCTAATTCCCTTATTTGTATACCAAATTTCATCAAAATCCGTTCAGTAGATTCGGCGTGATTGACCGACAAACATCTATACATCCAAACAAAGAAACTATCACATTGATAATATTAATAGGATTATTCCTTCATGCATTCTCTCTGAACAAATCTACACCAATATACTCGTCAGTGTCAGAGACGTATCAGTGCTCTGAGTATTAGTGCTGATACCACAGCTGATACTGAGTGATGTATGTATATATATGTATAATGTATAATTTCATGTCGCAGACAACTGGTTACATCAGCCGTCCTATTGGGCATCTAGCACTTTAATTGAATGTCACTACACAATTAATAGGCAGACTAACGATCAGCCGAGTAGCTGGTCATAATAATTAATACAGCTGAACAAAGATCAGCTAATTAACTTTCAATTAATTGAGATTACCGAAATTTATTGGTAGGTTATCAGAATTAGAAATAAAACAAAATAAATATTGTAATCTTAAATGGTAAATTCTAAGATGGTTTGTATAGTGATTTTAATATTTGTTTATTAAATTAATCTCTGAAATGTTTCTGTTTCTTGTTTCTTAATAAATTCTTTGTATAAATTCGTGAATTGTTCCTCCATACCATAGCAATAAACATTTTTATCTCTTCTTATATTCTTTTATTTTTGCCTATTTTTTTCTGACAAAATAGAGATGTGTGAATCATATTGCACAAATACGGATATAGCATTAAAAGTGTGAATAAAGCTTTAAAGTGAAGAATCGCAAAAGTATACATATATACCTTTTTCGTAATAAACAATACCATACGCATCAGCACAATTCACAATTGAAAACGTCATCTTTAATTAGAAACCGAAACTATAAGATGCTGTTTATTAGCTTTCAATATTATCCGTAGATAAATCACTGCTATTATATACGTCACTACAGGGTGTTTGGTAATACATGTATAATCCCGAAACATGGCCATACAACCTAGCACAAAGAACACAATTAATATGTCAAAAAACAATTTCACGTAAATTAAGATTTTCATACAAATATTTGAACAATTTGTTTTTAATTAATATGCTACAACCCTGAAAGCTTATACGTGCCGTCCCGGCGTACTCGCTCTCTCTCTCTCTCATTACCTCTCACTTTCTCTCGTTTCCTAGAACAACAGCTGTTTTTAGGGTTGTCAGCGTACAGTTTTACTCCGAAGAAAAAAGCTAAATATCTAGGTCATGTGCAGTGTTTCAGACTTAGTGATCATTATTCTGGGTTCTATTCATCATACCTTATGTGCCATATTCGGGATTATACAGGTATTACCAAACACGCTGTATATTTAATGATTTTATCTAAATAATAAATCTATAGTATGATCATACAAGTACTTTAAATAATGTCATGCATGGTAGTCCAGTCTATAAAAATTTAAGTCACACAAAATTCGCAAGGAGCTGAAAATTGTAATAGACATTTGATAACACTACTAATGAAATGTCAAAAATCTCCATCGACCCTACTGTCCGAAATAAAATATTCGAAGGTTTTAATTATTGTAAAAACAGGTTGGACAAAAGTTATACAAAAATGTTCTAATACTTTTTTCGAATCACCATTAGTGAGACATCGTGAATTTAAAAGTTCAAATGCGGGCTTATTTTATTTTAATTAGTTTGCGACGACGCCAACATTCGGACGTGCTACAATGCCACAGTGCCTATTAAAACTGCAAATATAACTATCGGAATAAAATTAATCTGTTGGAGGAATATCAGATTTTCTGGCTGTAAATATTATGATTTTACAATAGTTATAATTAAAAATCAAAGTATTTTCAATAAAATAACAGAGTTTTGGTCTTACCCAACATGGCAAACATTCACAAATATTTGAAAAAAACATTCGATGATTTAACAGCACATACATGGAGTGGTGTACTATTACAATTTTTTTACCAAAAATTTGAACATTCATTGAAAACCATCTTGATGTAGTGGTCCGTGTTCTCGATTACAAATCCAGGTATTTTATATGTACTTTAAGTATCTATTTACAACTAAACTATTTAAAACAAAAGATGCGTTCCCTAAAAGTGACGAATTAAACCATAAAAACAGAATTATTTAATTTAGTGATTGAATGTTTTGTCGACTTAAGATTGCTGTTGATTGTTGATTGAAAAATAAGTCAGAAACAACTTTATAATATACTTAACTTATTTAAACGTAATTTATATTGCTATTTAAATTTACATTGCATTTCGTTTTAGAATTATTTATATAAAAATCCCTACATAGTGAGAAAAACCACTACTACCTTGGTAGCGCTATAAGATTATTCCGCTAAAAATAGCCTTCTTAACATTATAACGTTACTGTGCGAGACAGACCTTATTTTTGTTAATATTTATATTATACTCTATTAAATTATCTATGCTTCGCTCTTAACTCTATTCTTGTCACTTACAACTTTTTTCTTCCGTTATAAACTTAGCTTGCGTTTGATATTGTAAAATTTATAAATATATTTCCTATTTCTTCCCCAACCCGCCGTTTCCTTTGCTGTCCTCAACATTCTGGTCCTTCGACGTCTTTTATTTTGAATTCAGCACTTTTCCAAATTCCAAATTTTTTTCCACTATGCTTACGAGAGCACAATCAGCAAAGAGGATGGTGGAACCCTCACCTTTTGAGGGGGGAGAGATAGGAAAACCGCGTTCCGTAGTTTCTTCTGCGACGTCGTCGCAACGGGCGAACTTGTTTGCGCGGCAGAAAGCCGCCGAGGCCAAATTAAAGCGCAAGCTCGCCGAGCTCACACAGCAAGCTGTGACGGCACAGGAGGAAGCGGCACGTGCAGAATTCGAAGCTGAGACGGCTGCTGTTGAGGCAGAGGAAGTATGTAGCAGAACGACATCAGCTTCTAAAGAGCGGACGGCGCAGTGGGTCGATGATGCTCGTAGCGCCGGAAGGTCATCACCTCAGCTCGTAGAAGACCATGGATCACCAAATGATCCAGTCGTAACTATGCCAAAGTTGTCATCGAAGGTCGACCATCCACGGTCGCCATGCGTAATTGGTAACGTATCACAATTTATTTTGTCGTGTGAAGATGTGCATGACGCCACGCAGGAGAAGGTCACCTGTTACTCGTGCCCATTAGGGGAGGGTGTATCGGCATCTGCGAAGGTGCAACGCGAATCTACACACGTGGATAAGATAGAGCACGTGAAACCTCATGACGTACCAATGAGTGAAATAAATCGTTTAAGTAACGCAATTACTTTACTTGCTCAAAATAGTTACGCTAATCGTGTTAGTTCTATAAAATAGATCTCATTAATTTTTCGGGTGATATTTCTGAATGGTTACTTTTCAAAAAGAGTTTTGATGAAACAAAATCTACGTTTTCTGCCAAAGAAAATATGGCACGTCTGCGTAAGTCGCTCTGTGGCGCAGCACGTGAGGCAGTAAAGACTTTATTGTTTACGTCAGATAACCCAGAAGTAGTAATAAAAGCCTTAGAACTTTATTTTGCGCGCCCAGAACATATAGTTCTCAATGAAATTGCAGCGGTGCGCGCCCTACCAAAGATGAGTAGGAACCCATGCGACATTTTCGCGTTTTCTGCCAGAGTACAAACATGTGTATGTGTAATAAAACAACTAAACAGGCAGGAATATATTTATTCACCAGAACTGGTTCATACACTATTAGCTAAACTGTCATTTAATTTACAGGACAAATGGTTGGACTATGCGGATGAACACTTTGATATTCAGAGGCCGTTGTTGGAACTGTTAGCAGCTTTTTTGGAGCAGGAAGCTAGCAAGCAAGCTCGCTTTAGCCCAAGCCCCTTAATGTGTAGCGGCGCTGCTTCACTAACGGACAAGTCGAAGCCGCAGACATCGTTTCATCGTGTTAACGCAAATACAACAACAAAGGCTCTTTGTTTATTTTGTCAGTCCATCCACAGTATAAAATCATGTCCGAAATTTTTATCACTTCCTGTAGAAGAACG